GAAAGCCTCATCTTTCTCCCGCGGAGCAGCTGGTAGTTTCGAACTGCTGACCTTGCGGTTCACAGCCCGAGTCGTAACCACTACGCTACCAGAGAGTAAAATAACACCTAGGTTAGGCTTCAAAATGCCAGTTGTGTTTATCTCTGGGAATTGATGTAATGGATGCTGTCTTAGTTATCTAGTGGTACTGTAACAGAAATACCACAAGTGGATGGCTTAACAAACAGAAATTTATTCTTTAACACTTTGTTGTTGTCGTTAAGTGCTGTCGAGTCAGTCTAACTCATAGCAACCCTGCATAGGTGGGGTTTGAACCAACAACCTTGTAGTTAGCAGTCCAGTGCTTATCCTAAAGTGCCACACTTGAACTTCTCTCACACTTCAGGAGTCTAAAAATTAGAATACAGAGCACTGGCTCTGATAAAAGGTCCTTATCTCTTTTCAACATCTTTAGGCCCAACATTCCTGGGAGATCTCCATGTATCTTGGCATCAGTCTTTCCCTTGGATCTAGGAGCTTCACTTTTGGAAATTGTCAAAAATTACATGGAATGCTTAAAGATCAAAATCTTAGGCATTCATAAGCTGAAATGAACTGGTATTGGGTTTTTGAGTCAGACAGTCATATGGTTTACTATGCTGGGAACAATAAATTGAAGAGGAACAGCATTGTATTCATTGTCAAAAAGGGCAGTTCAAGATATGTCTTAAAGTACAGTGCTGTCTGTAATAGGAAAATTTCCATACCTCTACTAGGAAGACCAGATAATACCACTATTAATATTTACACATCAACCATTAAATGAAAGGTGAAGAATTCTACCAACTTATTCATTCTGAATTGATACAGTAGCATGTAATCTAAATGCATTGATAATTACTGGTCATTGGAATGTGAAAGTCGAAAGGGAACAAAAAAGAAATCATAGTTTGAAAATATGACTTTTGTCATAGAATCGAAGGTGGAGATCTCATAATAGAATTTTGCAGAGCCAGTGACTTATACATGGCAGATGTGGACCTCACCAGATAGAATGTATAGGAATCAAATTGACTACATCTGTAGGAAGGAATGACAGAGAAGCTCAGTGTCATTTATCAGTTTCTCGTGTGCAAGTCTACACTGAAGCTGAAGCATATTAAAACAAGTCCACAGGAACCAAAATATACCCTTGGATATATCCCACCTAAATTTAGATACCATGTCAGGAACAGATTTGATGCATTAGGCACTAATGGTTAAACACCAGGAGAGGTGTGGGATAACATCATATATGTTATCCAGCTCCTACCTGCTCAAAATCAGCAAAAGATTTCTAAAAAGACACTAAGAATGAAAATGAATATCTGAGATTCTGCCCAATTAAAAAATGGGCACAGGACATGAATAGACACTTCACCGAAGAGGAGATCCAGGCAGCCAACAAACATGAAGAAATGGTCACGATCACTAGCCATTGTTGTAAAGTGCCGCCGAGTCAATTCCGACCCATAGTGACCCTGTAGAGGGTTTCCAAGGAGCAGCTGGTGAATTTGAACCGCTGACCTTGCAATTCAAACGACCTTGCAGTCTGACGCCTTAGGCCACAGCACCACACTAGAGAGATGCAAATCAAAACAACAATGAGATATCATTTCACACTAGCAATAACAGCAAAGATCAAAAAAGTAGAGGACAATAAATGCTGGCGGGGATGTGGAGATACTGGGACGTTCTTGCATTGCTGGTGGGATTGCAAAATGGTCCATCCTCTCTGGAAAGCTATATGGCGCTGCCTCAGAAGGTTGGAAATAGAAATACCTTATGAT